AAAAAAAAAAAAAAGATCAGCTCCCCTGCTCAGAAATCATCATTGCCTTTGCTTGGCTAGTAAAATAAAGTCTAACCCCACTGGGCATGGTGGCTCATGCCTATAATCCTTGCACTTTGGGAGGCCAAAGCAGGAGAATTTTTTGAGGCCAGGAGTTTGAGACTAGTCTAGGCAACATAGTGAGACCCCATCTCTACAAAAAGTTAAAAATTTAGGGCAGCACTTGTGGCTCAGTAAGTAGGACACCGACCCCATATACCAAGGGTGGTGGGTTTGAACCCAGCCCTGGCCAGCTAAAACAGCAGTGACAACTGCAACAAAAATAGCCAGGCAGGGCAGCGCCTATGGCTCAAAGGAGTAGGGTGCCTTTGAGCAGGGCACTGGCCCCATATGCCAGAGGTGGCAGGTTCAAACACAAAAACTGCAGGAAAAAAAAAAAGCCCGTCATTGTGGTGGGCACCTGTAGTCCTAGCTACTCAGGAAGCTAAGGCAAGAGAATCACCTAAGCCCAAGAGTTGGAGGTTGCTGTGAGTTGTGACGTCATAACACTCTACCAAGGGCAACAAAGTGAGGCTCTGTCTCAAAAAAAAAAAAAAAGTTTAGCCAAGTATGGTGGTACATGCCTGTAGTTCCTGTTGCTCTAGAGGCTGAGGCAGGAGGATTGCTTGACCAAGGCTGCTGTGTGCTGATTACACCCATTAATAGCCACTGCAATCCAGCATAGGCAATATAGCCAGATTTCATTTCTAAAAAAAGAAAATAATAATAATTTAATGGTAATGGCATCTACCTCTTAGAGTTGCTGTAAGGTGTCAAAATGACTCACAGAGCACATAACATGCCTAACTGGACATGAAGGTCTTTTGCCTGAATGACGACACTAACCTTCCTCTCCCATCACTCTCCCTAAACACCCTCTGTACTTTCCTATTCTTTGGTCCTTGTTAATGCAGTCCCTTAAACCAAGGCACTCTTTTTATTTGCTCTGTATTTCCTGTTACCTGTTGAAATTCTATTCTTCCTTCAATCCCTAGATGAAAGTCCATCTCCCCAGTAGAGCCCTCCCTGATTCCCCCCAAGAGGAATTCATCTCTCTTTGCTCAGTATTCCTGCAGCATTGATTTATTCTTCATTTGTGGAACTGCTATGATGCCTCATGTTACAGTTATTTCTGGACTTGTTTCCCATACTATACTGTGAATTCCTTAGAATCAGGAATAATGTCTTTATTTCGGTTTAGTAAATGGTATTGAGCATTTACTATGCTAGTGACTGGGGGACACAGGAATGAACAAAAAAGTCACATTTCAAAGTGTACAATGTAGTGGAGAAACTAGTCTTTAAACATGTGATTTCAAGTGTGAGTGGCTGTCAATACAAATGGACAGTCTGAGATGCTGTGGGAGCTCATATGCCATGGGAATCCATCCCTACCTAGAGTGCTGTGTTCAGCTTTGCCTCTCCAAAGACAAACAGTACCTCAGAAATTGGAGGTCTTAACTAAGATTTGACTCACAATGCCTAGCTGGCCCTGTCCAGATAGCCCAACTGCTCATCATCAGCTCCTTCTAAGGAGGCTGCTCAGGCCCAGGCACTAAGGACCTGCCTTGAGTCAGCCCAAGCTGTGGTTGCTGTGGCCCCTTTAAGAACAGGCCCCACTCTTACCGGACTGGCTGCCCTGCCTCCTGTCAGCCTCCTTCCTCCAGCCTCACAGCCACAGGAGGATTTCTCAGCAGAGGAAAAATTCCCCCCTTCCCTTCCCCCCCCCCTTTAATGCCCGGGGCCCTTCACTTCCATAATTCTTCATTTTCCAGCCTTGAACGTAAGCCAGACACATCTGTCTGGCCATATGCGTGAACCCTGGAGTCTGTGCCGAGGTGGCTGTAAAACAGGGCCGGTGAAGGCCCTTCTGGGAGAGCACACACATGTGTGTGCCCTCGGGCCATTGGCTCCCTGCCCAGAACCACGGGGGCTTCAGCGCTCCAAACCCATGTTAACCTTTTCTTATTTTTCCTCTTTTTGTTTAATTTAAAGGGGGAAAATCCCAAAGAAAAAGTATAAATTGTCCTGGGAGTGGAAGAGAGGCTCCTAGCTAGAGAGGCCATTATTGTTGGCAGGTACCTGGGTCACACTAATACAATAAGGAAGAAAGGAGCATCGAGTGAATTAAGATCGGAGAGATGGGCTGTAAATTACACTGCTCTGAACTCCATCAGTCTCCAGAGTGTTAACCGAGAGGTGTAAGGCAAGTC